CATGCTTGGCCATTTAAAATTGTTCAAGCATTTCTAACTACAAAATTAGTACCGCAATTGGCTTTTTCTTTTAAAATTGTTCATACATATCTATTAGTAGGGGTGACAAAATGAATGAATTAGATGGATATTGATTGGATTATTAATGGATGAATCAAAACAATTCATTATTCCATTAACAATCTATTAAAATTTTCTTAAAATTATTCAATCTAATTCATCCGTTAAAAATAAAATTCATTCAATCTATTCATTAATATATTTTTAATGGATGGATATCCACCCATCCAAATTTTATTTTATTTTGAAAAAGCAAACGTATTTTTTTTATTTTATTTTTGAATAATTTATTTTTTATATTTTAAAAATAATATTTTTTAAAATTGAATTTTTTGTTTTAAAAAAAACCATATTTTACATTTTCAAAAAAAAATTGATATTTTAATTTTTGAAAAAAATCGATTTTTTTTGGAGAAAATTCAAATTTTTTGTATTTTCCAAAATATCGATAGTTTAATTTTTAAAAAAATTGGTTTTTTTTCTTCGGGAATGTTTTTTCGAAAAAAAATCGGTTTATTTTTTCGAAAAAAATCAAATTTTTTTTTTGAAAAAAATTGTTTTTTTTTAAAAAAAAAAATCGAATTTGGTTTTCGGAAAAAAAATCGTTCTTTTTAGGAAAAATTCTGATTTTTTTTTGTTGGAAAAAAATCAATTCTTTTCTTTAAAACAATCCATTTTTAATTATTTTTTAAAAAATAAATTTAACGAAAATAAAAATAATTCATTGGATCCTTAAAATATATTGGATGGATTAAATCAATCCATGCATATAAATGGATGGATTTAATCCAATCCATTAACTTACTTTTTATGTGGTTGATGGATTGAATGAATTTTTTTATAAATGGATTGAATGGATTTTGCCTTAATGGATCCAATTGTCACCTCTATCCACTAGTCAATAATGATTTCACTGTTGCAATAGAAGATTGAAATGGTCAACCCAAATTTGTACCTGATGTTTGAAATTTGAAGTTTCAATTGAAGCTCAATTCAAAATCAATGAAAGTTGCACAGTTACAATAATTATTAGATACAATTACTTATATAAATCTTCTACGTTTTATGTGACAAGATAATTTGTTATCGCACAACATACTTTTTTTTTTCTGTTATTATTACAAAAAAAGGGGATCAGGCCATAAATTAAAGGCACGTGAGTTCTATGCTATTGCTTTACAGGAAGTTGTCGTTAAGTCAGAGCAAAAAAGAGAATTATGACGTTAAGTCAGAGAAAAAAAGAGATTCTATCATTAAGTCATGAAAAATAGTCGTGTAATACTGATGGATAATCTTCCTAGGATAGTGTATGGCCCATGATGAATCAGTTTTTCCTTTCATTCATGTTGATGGACATGCACATGATCCACATCATACACATCATGCATCTGGACCGGATGTTGTCGCATCTACTAGTTTTTCGGAAGATCCTAAAGACACTTCACCACTTCTTCTATATACACACCACCTTGTAGTCTACATGTGGGAGGAAGATGTAGCATAAATATTTTATTACTCTTTTAAACATTTTTTTGCATTAATTAAACTGTTTATGCTTATGTATTTATTTTTGCAATGCAGTGTATGGCAAGAAGATGTTAGAGCCCCCATAATCAATTGAGCCTTAGTTTAAGGACATATTAGAGTTGTTTGTGTTTAGGGACTTTAGCAAGACTAAATATAGTTATATCGACAATGGTCTGATGTCAACATTTGATGAGAGATGGCACCTAGAGACGTCGTCATTTATTTTCTAATAAGTGAGATGATTATCACCTTAGATGATATATCATACCTTTTATATATTCTAATCACAAAAAGATTGTTAGATCATTCCAAAATTACTAGACCTGAGACTCTTAACCTGATGGTGGCGCAATTAGAGGTTAATATGAGTAAAGCCCAAAAGAAAATAGAAGGCACCAATGAATGTTATATTAGATTCTCATTCCTATCAAAATTCTATATTTACCACCTAAATGTGATTGTAGATGTTGTGTGTGATGATACATAGATTTTCTATCATATTGTATGTGCATTGGGAACATGCTTCCTGATCTTGGTTGACACTGGCATTTTTATATGGTGTCAACATTAAATATTCCATATACTCAAATAGGATTCATTAATATAGCTGGGGAGACATCTTATTTAGTTTACCTTTATTCCAAGTTAACTAAAGATAGTTTATAAAAAAACTACACAAATGACATGAAGCAATTGTCTATTTTACGTCATTTATATACACATCTCTTCAAATCCAAAGAAAGCTTTTAACCGATTAAGAAGATATTTCCTTTCTCTAATTGACTATAGCAAATCCCTAATTGATTAGGCAATATAAAAATGTCTCTAATTGATTAGAAATACTTCTTAATCATTCCAAGACAAGTTTTGATAGATTTTCAAGAGATTTAAGGTGAGTTACTTATACCATTACAATGCACTTATCACTCAAACACAAGATCGAACGAGATTTTAGATATCATTTCTTTCACAATCTTAAAACTTTAAGAACCCTTACTATATTCACCATAGATTCTGCACTTTAATTGAGACTTGACTCCTTCTATATAATAAAGTTTGATATAACTTCTTTAATAATTCCCTCAAATGTACTTAACACTAGGTATTGTCAGCATCAAATCAAAAACCAAGAATAATTTACTATTAAAATCAACTATAAATGAGTGTTTATATCTGCAAGCACACAACTCCATATTTTTCACGTTTGTACTCAGTTATCCAACTTATAGGATAATTCAAAAGTAAAATTATATAGGCTTTCTCTTGACCACATTATAGCAGATGATATGTAAGTTATCCAACTTATAGGATAATTCAAAAGTAAAATTATATAGGCTTTCTCTTGACCACATTATAGCAGATGATATGTATTTCACAATACGGTGATCAACATCAACAAGATTGTTGAAAGAAATATCATGGTACTTTGAAAGATTGGTTGTGGTTTTGAACTTATATTTATTTAAGTGAATTTTGTAAAAAAAAATCAGACATCTTTACGGTATACTTACGGACCCCATGATTGCTACTTTCTTGACGCAATATTCGAAAACTATCATCCTTACATGACTCCTAAAAGAATTACTTTATAGAAATCTATATATTGCAATATAGAAGACAGAAAAGAAATAGAGGTATTGTATTTTATTGATTTGAAAATTTGTATAATATTTGGGCCGAATGAGTTCATGAAAATTTAATAATAATTATGTCTGACGTATGTTTATGATCTATTGTGTGAATAATAAATGCTCTTTCAAATGATATCATGTTCATCTTAAAGTATGCGGATTACACAATAGATGAATCAAGTAATTAGTAAATTAAGAATAGTGCCTGCTTTTATTTTTAACGTTATCTTCTTGAATACTATAGTACCTCTTTTGTTCTTTTTTGGAAGAGTTAGAGCAAAACTCTTTCATGATTGTCGAAAACGTAATGATCGATACTAACTATGACACGAACATGTAATGGTCGAAAACGTAATGGCCAAAATCTTTCTTCCTAGTTCCTTCTGCCGGCTTACTGCCATTTTCCGTTGTTCCCTCAAATCAATCAAGCTTGGTTGATTCTTCTGTGATAAAATATGTGTCTCTCCATTATGATAATTTCCTACTGCTGAGAAACGTGACCAAATACTTCTAAAGTTACAAGTTTCCATTGATTTCTAAGCTCCCACTTTTTTCAAATTAATAACAAAATCACTTTATGAAATTCCATATTTTCATATTTTGGAAAAGAAAATGATGTATGTTATGGAAAGATAAGAGGCTAAACATATGAATGATTATTACTATATTATTAAACCATGTTGATGGAAGCACGAGGGCACTACCAACGGTCCAATAAATACATGAACAAGACCATCCTTTCAAAAGTTTTGCCTCTTAAGACAGTAGTACTAAGAGAACAGATAAGCTCACAACTCCACATTCTTCAACAATGACATGTAATTCATGCATAACACTTGCACATGCAAAAGCTCAATAAATAATAGTTATTGCCTTCATCGCCATTACTTTAACATGGATCCCAAACTTAGCAATTGCCTTCATCTACTTTCAATACTCAGGCAGTTGAATTATAAAAGCCAAGACAACCAAGCATAACACTTCAAACAAGATAAGTACTCATTCAATTCCACAAATTTATTCGCTGCATATACTATAACAAGATTACCATCCATTGGTAATCTAGGCACATGACAGCAAGATTATCTCCTATTATAGTTAATTTTCTCAAACATCTCCACTACTATCCACAATCCTCCAATCTGCTAAATTAACAGTGCACAATCACACACTAACCAATGAGATTTAAATCACTTACTCCTTCGCTGCTACATCAGGCCAAAGGCCAGTGAAATTTAAACACCACTGTGAGATTTTGAGCATCCAAATCCTTTAATCTTTGGGGACAACCAGTTCCAAGTCATAATTTTTACATCCTCAAACATCCTTTTGATGCCAAAATCCAAATGATCTAAACCTATTATTTTTTCTAGTCTTCCATAACACCCAAGTACGTATGCATACATACCATACCACTGTGTCCTTCATTCTTATAAGGGCTGAACATCGGACAAATACGACCAATTTCAAAACTAAAAACATAATCCATTACTTGACCAAATATAACAAGGCACGTTTGGTTTGTTTAGATCCACTATGTTATGACATTGAGCCGTATTAGATTTTTGGTCTGAAAAAATCTACAGACTATACAAACACTCAAGCTTCTAAATTTCAGCACAGCATGTAAAGACAAGAAAAACAACAGTGCAGTTATTAGAATTTTTCTCTTTCTATAATAAAATAAAATGAAATGTCAACTACAGTCTACAAACATAAAAAACAATCCTTACTTTTCACTGCAAAAACCACATATAGATTACAAATGTTTTTGAACACTTCCTAAAAAGGGCGCTGGAACCCTCCTAAACTAAATAGAGAATGAAGGAAAGCTGATTCGCTTATAAAAGGGATATTCGAAAATGTACCAAGAAGAGCACACCTGATGGAATGCATGGTTATGAAAATATATGCCAACGCCACACCAGCCCAGTAATACATCCCAAGTGTTCCCTTGAAGTGTATGAGCGGCAAGAAATTGCTTGCAACCCATATTATCTGCAGAGCAATTTCCAGTAGCATTCCTGCCATTACATGGAATCTGAAGATAACGGGAAAGTCCCTATTTTTTACCACTACCACGATAGCCAAATAGCAGTATAATATAGGGAACCAAGTTGGGAATCGGTTGACAGCTCCTGGGATATAAAAGATCAGATTTTCAAAGAGCTTGTATTTATCAAGTAAAGGTTCTATGTAATACCCAGTTGCGGACATCTGCAATGCTATTAGATAGGGTACACAGGATAAAGTCCTCCACCACCATTCTGGCTTCTCAGCATTTGCAGGGATTCGAAAGCCAGACCAATGGTATATATAAGCTTGTGGACGGGTACTAGAACTGCCTCTTCGAGATAAAGAAACACCAAGTGAGAGATGACCATGGTTATCAGTAGATAGTGGAGATGAAACACTCGTGAGTCGCGTAGCTGATTTTCCTAGGAAAAAAAATTGTTTCATTTAGATAGCATAGTGTATATGAAGAAATAGTTGTGATTATTTAAATAAAAGAAGTTTCATAAGGCTATCTTTGGATATTATGAAGTGGAATAGAACGGAACGAAGATATCATTCCATTGTTTGAAAATTTTAGGACGGAACAAGGTAAGTTGATCATTTCGCCCAAATCGGAAGAGGGGAAGGAATATGGTGGTAAGTGATGGAATGAAATGGAATACATACCACTCAATTCCGCTCTGCTCCATCCAATTTTAAATCATCCAAACAATGAAACATCACTTCATTCCATCTCATTTTGCCACACTCCACCCAATTTTAAATTATCCAAACAATGGAGTTATCATCCCATTCCGATTCCATCAATCCAAACATAATTTGGATTGATGGAATGGTATAAGTTTATGTTCCATTATTTGGATTAATTAAAACAAGATGGAATGGATCATAACCGGATGGAATGCATTTCATCCCATTCCATCACTTTCTATCATTTGGACCCTTCGATTTAGGCGGAATGACAAAAAATTGTTTTATTCCATTATTAAGACATTTTTATCACATTCCGCTCCGTTCGGCTCCGTTCTGTTTTCAATATCCAAACATAGCCTAAGTGACATGAACTTAGCCAAAACCCAAACCTTTTAGCTTATGGGTTAAGAAAAACTAAGACCCTACCTAAATTTCAATAATCCTCCAGTTTCATATTCTTACAGCAACATCTAATATTACACTAAATCATTAAAACCATATTACTGCAACTACCTAAAACATAAAAATCACAGATAAATCCCTATAAAACAGGTTTGTTGAGAAGCATGATGCACACATACCCAGAGAACTGCCTGCAAGAGCTTTGATGGCAAAATTCCTTTTCCTGTAGAATGTAACTCGTCTTTCTGGAATCAAATCTTTATTCCTAATTAAAAAACCAAACACACATAAGTTTTAAGTTTTAAAATACAAAAATAAGAGGACAAGAATTAGGGTTTTGGGAAGGGAGGGTTTTGAGGAGACCCTAATATGAATAACTCAAAACACTATTGTAAAAAAACTTGATAAATTATCAAAATTCAATCTATATTGTTGTAACTCCTTAAATCTCAGAAACATATTAATCACAAGCATTTGTTTATCATCTACCCAAAAACAATCTTCCAAAAATAATAAAAAATAAATCTATTTTTCTCCAGTTCAAACACATGATAAGATATGATTTCTCCAGAATTGAAAAATAACATTCACAATTAGCTTGATAAATCGAATTGAATTTGAGTAGGGTTAGAAACATTGATCGTAACGATACAAAATATTCGAACACGTTGCAGAACACGAATTATCAAAAATACATATGAAAAGGGGAAGAGATGATTACGAGAGAGAAGGAAGGCGGAGAAGAGAAACGTTGGTGGTTGTTGCTGCTGCTGCGGCGGCGGCGGCGAATTGACCTGCCATCGTCTTCTTTCTACTTTCTTATCGACTCCTCCGTTACCCACCTTTTTATTATTATCCTTTTTATTTATCTTTTATTTTATTAAATTTTCTTGAATTTTGAGGAGTATTTCAGAAGCGTTGCCTTGTCTGTAGAAGGATCTCGACTTTCGAGGCTACTTACCGGAGGCGGTTGCATACGCAAACCAAATTTCATTTTTTTTAAGTATTTTTTTTTTCTTTTTACAGAAATATTTCCTCTATGTTGTTGTAATATTTTTAAATAATAATAATATTGAATATTTTTAAAAGAATAAAAATAGTGCACTGATTAATTTTTAATAGAATTATAATTTTCTGTTATATCAAGTGAGTACTTTAAAATTACACGTGTGAAATATACGTTTTTGATTAATTAAAAATATATGGATTTCATTAGAAAATGATAATATAAAACATTTTATATTATATTATATATATATATATATATATATATATATATATATATATATATATATATATATATATATATATATATATATATATATATATATATATATATATATAAGTTTTTTAATTAATATGTAGTGTTAATTTTTTAATTATATACTCCTTCCATTTACAATTATAAGAAAAAGTAATTAATTTCATACTAATTAAGAAAAATAATTAAGTATAATTAATTTTTTTAATTTTTTGTACAATCAAAATGAAATTTATTATAATATTTTTATTTATCTATTATCTCCATTTTTTATTATAAGTAGTTTTGAAATTTTCACACATATTAAAAAAATTAATAATTGATGTGCAAAAATAAAAAACTATCAATGTTTTTTTACAAAATTATCTTTTATTAATAAAATGGAAAAGATAAATTAAATGTACATAATTGAAAGGAGTCATAATAATAAACTTTTAAGGATATAATGAAAAAAATAACACTAAGTATTTATTAAAGTGACTTATATTGAAGTACATATTTTTTTTAAAAAAATTTATAATAAAAAACGGAAGGAGTAATATCTAGGGGTGTTCATGGGTGCGGGTCGACCCGCAAATCCGCCTACCCAAACCGAACCAACCCACTAATTACCCGGACCCATTCATTTACGGGTATATCCGACCCAACCCGTAACAACCCGTATAGATTTGGTTCGGGTATTGGGTTTTAGTTTCTAAACTCATGAACCCGTTGACCCAACCCGTTGACGTGGCATAATTAATTATTATTATTATTATTATTATATTATTATTTATAAATTTTAAAGTTGCTATAACTTTGTAAATTGTAACGTACACAAAGATCTTTTGCACTTTCCTTCCAGTTTCCAATCACACATTAAATTATTATTATTATTATTATTAAACATTATTATTAATATTAATCATGTTTGCTTGACTTATGCACTTCTAGTTTACACTTTACTGCCTTTTTATTTTTTTAATGAATCTTTATTAACTAATAATAATTAAGTATAAATTAGAAACTTACTAAACTAAAGACAATACCACTTAACCTAACCCTATTTTTTTACTACGGCAAATCTCAAACGTCACCACTCCTCTTTCTCTCACGATTTTTTTTTTCATTTTACTCTCTCACATTCCAATTCCATCTTGCTTTCGAAAATCCACAGTCTATACTTTGACTCTCTCATAGTTTCGTCTCCATATTGAATAAGGTTTTATACTTTTTATAGTTCTACAATATATTTATTTCAATGCAATATATTATTTTTACAGTATGTACTTCAATAATTTTATATCAATGCAAAATATGATGATAGGTTCAATGTAATGTACTATTTTGTTTCATATGATGCAAAGTACTATTTTGTTTCATATGATGAAAATATATTTTGATGCAAAGTCCTGTTCTGTTTCATATTATTAATTTAAATATATTTTGTTTAATGTTGTTTTAATAATAATTTATATTAAAAATTGTTTTTTTATAGAAAATGGAAGTGGAACAATCACAAATTGTCAATGAAGATGTTGCTCATCCACTTGAACAAGAGCAAGAAGTTCAACAAATACAAGGAGAAGGGTTGTCATCATTGCCACCCAGTGCACTAATAGAGGTAAGCAAAAGAAAACCCTCTAGAAAACCTTCTACAGTTTGGAAAGATTTTAAAAGGGTTAATGATAAGGCTATATGTAAGTATTGTGGGAAACAATATGCTGCAAATAGTGGTAGTCATGGCACTACTAACATGCATAAACATTTGAAAGTGTGCCTGAAAAATCCAAATAGGGTAGTTGATAAGAAACAAAAAACTATAGCTATTGGAAAAGAAAGTGAGGATGATCCTAATAGTGTTAGCTTGAAACTTGTTGATTTTAATCAAGAGAGGACTAGATTAACACTTGCAAAGATGATAATCATTGATGAGCTCCCTTTTAAATATGTTGAAAATGAAGGATTTAATATGTTCATGAAAGAGGCTCAACCAAGATTCAAAATTCCATCTCGTGTCACTGTTGCCAGAGATTGTTTATGCTTGTACTTCGATGAGAAAGAAAAATTGAAATCTATGTTGTCTGCTAATAAACAAATGGTGTCTCTTACCACTGATACTTGGACATCGATTCAGAATATGAATTATATGTGTGTTACAGCTCACTATATTGATGACGAGTGGAATTTAAAGAAGAGTATATTAAGCTTTGGTATAATTGCTGACCATAAAGGTGAAACTATAGGGATAACATTAGAGAATTGCATGAAGGAATGGGGTATCAAGTCTATATGTTGTGTGACTGTTGATAATGCAAGTGCTAACAATTTGGCAATTGATTATTTAAATCGAGGCATGAGTTTTTGGAATTGTCGTACTTTGTTTAATGGGGAGTACTTGCATATGAGATGTAGTGCTCACATATTAAACTTGATTGTCAAAGAAGGAATAAAGGATATTGATGAATCTGTTAAAAGAATTAGGGATGCATGTAAGTTTGTCAAGGCTTCTCCTAGTAGGTTGGCTACTTTCAAGAAGTGTGCAGAAGCTGTTGGTGTATGTTCTAAAGCATTGGTAACACTAGATGTAGAAACCAGATGGAACTCTACTTATTTAATGTTGAACATCGCTGAAAAGTATGAACATGCATTTTACCGCTTAGAACATGCTGATGTTGCATTTTTAACTAATCTCCGCATTGAGTCGAAAGGATGTCCTAATCGAGCTGATTGGGAACGAGCTCGTATTTTTGTGAAGTTTTTGAAAACTTTTTATGATGCCACACTTTCTTTTTCTGGGTCATTGCATGTTACTGCTAACTCTTTTTTCAAACAGTTGATGGATATTAAAAAAACGTTGAATAAATGGAGGCACAATGTTAGTGATCCAATTTTGAAAACCATGACAGCAAATATGCAATTGAAGTACAACAAGTATTGGGAAAGCAATACAATAAATTATCTTCTCTTTGTTGCTATTTATCTTGATCCTCGTTATAAGCTTGACTATATTGAATTTTGTTTTACTCGGATGTATGGTGAAAAATTGTCAGAGGATATGTTAAAGAAATTGAAATCTCTCATTGCTAAATTGTTTGAGCACTATTTATTTTTGTATCCTGTTTCTCATGATGGTGGTTCCAATGCCTCATCTTCAAACATTGCCTCTCATTCTAGAATTGAAAATGGTGAAGATGATGAAGATTGGGACAATTTGTTTAGAATGAATATGAAGAAAAAACAATGTGAAGTGCAAAAAAATGAGTTGGAAAGGTATTTGGAGGATGGTGTTGAAGATGATTCTCCTACATTTAATATTCTCACTTGGTGGAAAGGAAAAACAAATAAATATCATGTGCTTTCCCGCATAGCTAGAGATATATTGGCTATCCATATATCCACTGTATCTTCTGAATCCGCTTTTAGTACAGGAGGTCGTGTCCTTGATTCATTTCGTAGTTCCTTGATCCCTCTGCCGTTGAAGCTTTGATTTGTACTCAAAATTGGATCAAATCTCCTAAGGTCATTGATTTAGAAAAAGAGTTGGTTGAATTGGAAAAGGTTGAGTCAGGTATGAATTATATGTTTGAATTTTAAAATCTATTTTATTTTAGTATTACATTACATTATTCTTATTAGTTGTTTGTGTTTACATATATAGAGTTAGCTGGATTAGTTTCTATTGATGTTGGCATTACTGCGGTTGAGCTCAATACAACTGTTACTACTAGATTTTAAGGTATTTTTTAGTGTTGTTTTTTTTCTTCTTCTTTTGACTATTGTTGCTTAAACTTTTAACTGTTGTTGCTGGATTTTATGTTGTTGCTAAACGTTTCATTGTTGTTGCTGGAATCTTTTACAGCTAATGTTGCTGGATTTTCTGTTGTTGCTAAACCTTTCACTGCTGGTGCTGGAATCTTTTATAGTTGCTGTTAGATTTTGGTGCTATTAGACCAATATTGGACCAATACATCTATGTCATTTTAAGATTAAGTGATGTTTATTTGCTTTTGAATTATTTAGAATTTATGAATTTTATGGAAATGATATTTTATGGAATTTTATATATTATTAAGTGTTAATATATATGATAGTTTACGGACCTATTTTTAAGTATGTGCTAGAAAAGGTAACATTTGAGTATCAAAACAACTAATATATACTGTATATTATTATATATTTGTTTTACATATGTTGATATATATTTGTAATGGATAACATTTGAGTATCAAAATAACTAATAAATTTTTATAAATTAAGGTATATTAATGAAAATATATAAATAATTAATGGTGTATATGTATCTTAATATTTTTTATGACAAAGAAAATACATTTCAAAATTTTAATTGTTATATTTTTAATTATTCTATTTTATATGTAGGATTTGTCTCCACTACGTAAATAATTTAATTGTTTAAAATATGCAAAATTATATTGAATTGTGTTATAGATTTTTTAAATTGAAAATAATAATTATTATATACACAACCCGTGGACCCAACCCTACCCAACCCGTAAATATCCAGGTTGATTCGGGTCGGTTTTTAAAGTAGAATTAC